ACAATTTTTACCTAAATTGACAGTCGCAGACTAACACAGCCAATTAACAAAAGGCACATATAAAGGAATCTGGGATGAATTTGATGGTAAAATGACCTGGGCCACCTGATGGTAGGAGAATTACTTGGTATCTTGTCAAAAGCCTGTTAATAACAACTGCCTCTGAGCCGACATGGCTTTCTGAGCACTTGGCTGTACAGCCTCGAGACCCTCCACTGCAGTAAGCACTCTGGCTGCTGCCTGCACCATCGCCTAGGGTCCATGTTCAGCTCCTACCGATTTTCTTTGCCAATCACTGCATGTGTTTGTTATTTTTGTCAGCACAGGCATACTTCCAAGAGTCTTCTAGATGTTCCAAGAAATAGTCAGTGTCCAAGGTAGGCTTTTAAATTTTAAGGATTTTGTTCTTCTGGCAAGATTAAATCCAAGACATGCTGTGGCCCATGGCCCTGGGGCAGATGGCTACATCACTGGCATGTTGCAAAGTGAAAAATATCTTAACCATGCAACTATAAAAGCTGCTTGGGAGTCTTGTCCAGATACTTTCCCTCCAGAATTTTGGTCTTTAGGCACATGTGCCAACTTCTAGGGTTAAACAATTTAGGTTAAGGAGTGTATATTATCTGGATTAAGGATTTTATCACCACAAATATACGGTAGCTTTAATACAGCAATGTAAGGGGTACCTTATTTCAACTCACAATTTGAGATTAAGACAATGCATTTACACTCTTTGTACTGATTCTTCCCCAGTCACCCTTGTCTGTGCATTGTGAAGACCTGATGTGATTTGTACTGCCAGTGCTGAGAGGCAAAATGAGACCCACCTGAGCTGTGGGCTTGTGCTCTCATATGGAAACCCTCAGGTCACTCCAAGAGACTTTGTGAATTTAGTATAGACACTGCTGTTGATCACAGATTATATATTTGAACCTTCCTCTCTACTGAGCTATCAAAAATTCTTTCTAGACAGAACTAATGCCCTTGCCCCCCCAAATATTAACTGTTCTTACCAGCCAAGATTCATGTTCAATATGAGACAAAAATCAACTTTTAAGTTGTCCCACTGTATTATGATCTTACTTTTAACCCCTTGACATTTAAATAATGAAATATTGAATCAGCTAAAAAGCTAATTATTTGATCATAACTTTTGCTTTAATTTGGTGGGCAAAGATATATTTATGTTATCATCTGTGTTTAGATTTTATTAATTTGGGTGGTCACTAGCCCTACTACAAATATAGTTTGTGCTTATATTTGCCTTCTCTGTATGTAACATAAGCTTGCAAGATAAAGCTGAATAACTTCCTCTAGAGAAACAAGTTTTCCTTAAACATTGTGGAAAGGAAGCATTCATCCCATCCTATTTCTGTCAGTCATTTAAAGGAAAACAAGACAATACTGCAACTACGTTTTGCTTTGTTTCTTTCCAAAATAAAAGATGTAGACAGCTTCATTTTTTTTTTTTTTTTGCTGAAGATTGGTGTCCCCCCCACCCCCTGTAACAAGTAAAACCAATACAAACCAGCACCCCAAGGACAGCAACAGAGCTAGGATACTGCTGGGATATGAACAATATAAGAGGATAAAACTCTGTACTCTTCCCACCTGCCAGAGTCCTGATTTCCCCTAGTGACTACTGTAACATCAGCACATCGTTTTGAAGTAAAAGCTGAAACTCCTTTAAGGTATGATTTTAATGCCCAAATTTTGGTTTCTTTTAGAATGGAAGATTTTATGGCAAGGGGGAGGAGTGCCTGTGCTTTAAGGAAGACACCATTTGTAAGAACATGATTACTTTTGTACCAACGCAAGCAAATGTGGCATCCAGTCCAGTCTCCTCTGTCCAACAGTCACCCACGGTGTGTATCTAAGGAATCATTAAAAGAACAAGGCAGACACACAGTGACGGTCTCCTCTGGATGTGATGTGCAGTACTCGAGTTGCATGAAGAAGTGGTGGGGACAGTGTGGAAGTAGAAGGAAATTAAAACGTACTATCAGACCAGCATCTCTACTCCAGAATTCCCAGTTTTGGGTGTTGGGCTGAGTTAGGAAACTTAATCCCCATGCTCACTTCTGTGGGACAAATTCTATAGTTTCCCTGAAGGATCATGTCTGAAAGCAGAGAGGGAGAATGTCCCGTTTTGTGAGAAATTCTGCCTCACCATCAGCACAGTGTTTCAGTCTATGAAGACAGTCTCTGGGAGTTCATGCTGGTGGTGAGTGGCAATTTTTAGTAGCAAAACTACCAGGAAAGCAGCCATGCACAGGAAGAAATATGTTACAGTCCTCGAACTGTAACTGGTGGTTTGATGGCAGGGGGTGTTTGTTGCCGTAGTAGCAGATGGGCATCACCGTATCTTACATTTCTTGCTCAGGTACGGTTTGGACCATGGAGAATTATACTTCTAATGATGAGTTTTGTGGTTTGGGGTGCTTGAAATGTAGGACAAGAGCTTCTGGGAAGATTCGTTCCACATAGGATTTTCTTGTTACGTGAAAAATTATTAAACAGTTAAAATCAGCAAGTCCTAGGAACTCTCCTGAATTTAGCAGCTCTCAGCCCTCATTCTACCCCCTACAACACCCCCTCAATTCCCATTTCCACTTTTTCTTTCCAAGTTGGTCTCACTGATACATCCCTCTCTAAGCTCTAAGCAATTGTTCTGAAGCTGGATTTAGCTTTGGTAGTTACTGCTTCATAACCAACAAAAAAAAGCTTGTTAACCGAGAAATTTGTCTACTTTTCCTTCTGTACCAGTTGGTCTGAAAAAAGCTAATACATGTACAAACCTTGTCCTGTATACACTGATCTTTCTCCTACAGTGATCTTGTACCTTGTTGCACACAGCAATTTACAACAGCAACTTTTCAATGTTTTTCAGTTTGAGAAGTATTTTCTAAATATTTCAAATGCAGACCCCCACAGACAGAATTTCAGCCAAATGATGATGGACTTCAGCATCTTAATTACCTTTCCTGGATTGTGTGATACATCCCCAGGTCTGATGACCACAGGCAGAAAGCCACAGAGGCTTCCTGAATTCACTGATTCCTGATTTTCTATGAGAAAGAGCATGTATACTTGTTCCTATCTAAAGATCCAGTGTTCAATTGTTTTAGGACGAACAGGAAACAATACTGTCATTTATGGCTGAATATAAATTAGGTTTTGTGCTAGAAAGGCATTGGTAATTTTAATTACCCATGCAGATCTGAAGAGAATCTGTAATATAAAACTGTAAATACAATATGCAAGGAATCAAACTTTTTTCAGCAGAAGATGGAAGAAGATATTTGTGCATATCATTTTTGAACTACAGTCCTCTGAGAAGAGAGTTCTTGTCAGAACTCAATGAACCTCAGTAAACAAGGACATCAGCAATCGACATATTTAAGGCTGTGCAATTTCTAAACATGATCCTGCTCCAGCAGTCGTTACACAGCATAGATCTTGCCACTAATTAGTTTGAATGTGGGACAGCACTGCTGGGAGAAAGAAAGTGGCCTAAATATCATGGTCCAAATTTTATGTATAGGTATCCAAGAAATACGGATGTCTTTCATTAACCCTTGCCACCTGTGACAGCTAGAAATAAATGCTGGTCTTGACTTATTCCTAATGGATTTCTGTAGCTCATTAGCGTATAAAGTGGAAGGGTGGGAGTGTGCTGCAGAGAAGGGAGACAGCTGGCTGGAGAAGTTTCATGCCTGGTTCAGCTCTGAATGGCAGCATTAACCACCGGACAAATACGAGGACATTCACGTCCACGACACAGAGGCTCGGTTACTGAATGTTCGGAGAACATGGTAGGATTCTTCTCCTCCTCCTCCTCTCCAGGAACACGGTTTATTATTCCTATTGAATTCCAGCGGGTACAGTAAATCCCCCATTCAGCCTCCATCACTTTCCCCGACTACGCATTTGGGAAGAGCCAACAGGACCTCCATTCTGCGTGAGCAAGGGGCTTTAGGCGCGCAGAAAGAAATGGCTCCTGTTGGTGGTCACTGTATGCCCATTCACCCCCTCCCCAGAATACAGCGAGCATCTCAAAAGCCCTGACGGGAGGTATTTGCAAGTCAGGCAGCATTCATCTCGAATTAAACTGGAATAGCTGCCCACTGGGCAGAGGAGGAAGGGGACTGGGAGAGCCCTATTGTGATTATTTTCGTATCTCAGCCTGCTGCTGTAGGTACGATGGGAGGAAGACCCACAAAAAAAACAAAACAAAAAAAAAAAAAAAAAAAAAAACCTGGCAATAACTCGGCAGCGAGATACTGAAAAGTGTCTCTGGAGGGAGGCGAGTTTTGGCCGCTCGCACATCGCCGGCTGCGTGTGCGCGATGTGCACACCGCGGTCTCTGCCTTCAAACTGCCGCCGCTCCCCCCGCGCCCCAAGTTATCACAATAAACCCGTCTTCTAGATTTCAGTCCCGCAAAGATGCTCCCCGATTGCTCACTGTTCTCTGCAACAGACTCCGGACAACAGCACTAGCCTCCCCCGCCCGCCCCAACCAACCTTGTCCGTTGCTATTTGGCAAATACCGACCTCCCCCCGCTCCCCCCCCCGCCCCGCCGCCCTGCGAACGGAGCCGAAATTAGCACAGCTGCCTTGCCGCCGGGGGAGACGCCGAGTTTGCCGGGCTCTGGACCCCGCCGAGGTGCGCAGCACAATGGCCTTAACAATCGTCATCACCGGGGAATCCAAAAACACCCCCCGGGACAGCCGTGACCGGCACCCCAGCGTCTCCTCCGTGCAGCCGCCGCCGTCCCGCCGAGCCGCCCCGGTGGGCCCGGCCCGGCCTGCCCCTGCCCCTCCGCGCTGCCGACCGAAAAGGCGCGGCCCCCCACACCCCCCCATCGTTTCCCACCCCCCGGCACACCCCCCCCACGCCGCGGCGGGGCCCCCCCTCCCCCCGCGCCGCCGCCTTTGTGCGCGGCGCGGGGCAGCCCCGCTCCCGCCTGCGCCCGCCCCCGGGTGAGGCGTTGGGAGACGGTCCCTTACGCAGGAAAGTTCGGCGTCGGTTTCAAGGCTCCTCCCTCCCGGTGAAAGGCAGACTGCGGGGCGCCTGGAAACCGGTCGGAGGGAGCGCGGCGCGGCGAGGCGAGGGGCGCGGGCTCGAGGGGCCGGCACAAATGGTCAGGCGGCGGCGGCGGCGGAGGAGGCGGCGGCGGTAGTCGGAGGCGCGGAGGGCGCTGCCGCCGGGTGCGGGCAGAGCTGCGCTCCGCGGCCGCGGCTGCCCCGTCCCTGCCCGCCTGCTCCCTTCATGAATCGAAAGTTCGGGCCGGGAGGAGCAGCAGCGGCGGCGGCGGCGGGGCGGCGGGAGCCCGGCTGGGCAGGCGGCACCGACTGAGCATGGCCGAGCGGCGCGGGGCGGCGGCGAGCGGCGGCGGGGAAGTTGGCGGCGGGCGGCGGGCGGGCGGCGGCCGGTGCCCGCGGCTGCTGCCGGTGCTGGTGGTGCTGTGGGCGGCGGCGCTGCCGGCCGGGGGGCAGCCGCCGGCGCCGCAGTACAACGGGGAGCGGGGCATCTCCATCCCGGACCACGGCTACTGCCAGCCCATCTCCATCCCGCTCTGCACCGACATCGCCTACAACCAGACCATCATGCCCAACCTGCTGGGCCACACCAACCAGGAGGACGCGGGGCTGGAGGTGCACCAGTTCTACCCGCTGGTGAAGGTGCAGTGCTCGGCCGAGCTCAAGTTCTTCCTCTGCTCCATGTACGCCCCGGTGTGCACCGTGCTGGAGCAGGCCCTGCCGCCCTGCCGCTCCCTCTGCGAGCGGGCCCGCCAGGGCTGCGAGGCCCTCATGAACAAGTTCGGCTTCCAGTGGCCCGACACGCTGCGCTGCGAGAAGTTCCCGGTGCACGGGGCCGGCGAGCTCTGCGTGGGGCAAAACGCCTCCGAGCGCGGCACCCCCACGCCCGCCCTGCGCCCTGAGAGCTGGACCAGCAACCCCCACCGCGGGGGCACCGGCGGCGGCCCCGGGGGCTCGGGGCCCGGCGAGCCCCGCGGGCGCTTCTCCTGCCCGCGGGCGCTGAAGGTGCCCTCCTACCTGAACTACCGCTTCCTGGGGGAGAAGGACTGCGGGGCGCCCTGCGAGCCCGGCCGCCTCTACGGGCTCATGTACTTCGGGCCCGAGGAGCTGCGCTTCTCCCGCACCTGGATCGGCATCTGGTCGGTGCTCTGCTGCGCCTCCACCCTCTTCACCGTCCTCACCTACCTGGTGGACATGAAGCGGTTCAGCTACCCCGAGCGACCCATCATCTTCCTCTCAGGCTGCTACACGGCAGTGGCCGTGGCCTACATCGCCGGCTTCCTGCTGGAGGAGAGGGTGGTCTGCAACGAGCGCTTCGCCGAGGACGGCTCCCGCACCGTGGCACAGGGCACGAAGCGAGAGGGCTGCACCATCCTCTTCATGATGCTCTACTTCTTCGGCATGGCCAGCTCCATCTGGTGGGTCATCCTCTCCCTCACCTGGTTCCTGGCCGCCGGCATGAAGTGGGGCCACGAGGCCATCGAGGCCAACTCCCAGTACTTCCACCTGGCTGCCTGGGCCGTGCCAGCCATCAAGACTATCACCATCCTGGCCCTGGGGCAGGTGGACGGGGACGTCCTCAGCGGCGTCTGCTTTGTGGGCATCAACAATGTGGATGCTCTGCGGGGCTTTGTGCTGGCCCCCTTGTTCGTCTACCTGTTCATCGGCACCTCCTTCCTGCTGGCTGGCTTCGTGTCCCTCTTCAGGATCCGGACCATCATGAAGCACGACGGCACCAAAACAGAAAAGCTGGAGAAGCTCATGGTCAGGATAGGCATCTTCAGTGTCCTCTACACAGTGCCGGCCACCATCGTCATTGCCTGCTATTTTTACGAGCAAGCTTTTAGGGAACAGTGGGAGAGGAGCTGGGTCACGCAGAGCTGTAAGAGCTATGCCATCCCCTGCCCCAACAACCACAGCAGCCACCACCCGCCCATGAGCCCCGACTTCACCGTCTTCATGATCAAGTATCTCATGACCTTAATCGTGGGCATCACCTCGGGCTTCTGGATCTGGTCGGGGAAAACCCTGAACTCCTGGAGGAAGTTTTACACCAGGCTCACCAACAGCAAGCAAGGCGAGACCACCGTCTGAGACCCCCTTGCCTGCCGGGCTGGGGGGATGGCGGCCGGCCAGAGGGCCGGGGCTCTGCCTCGGGGAAGCAGCTCCTTGTCCAGCCTGGGCAAACTGGGGACCGTGAGTGGCTTCCGCAGGCGGCGGGGAGCGGAGGACGAGCCCGGTGGGGACCCCTGCGCCTGGGACTGCCCGGCTCTGCCCTCCCTGCTCCTCTTGGGCTGTCTCCTGCAGGAACTGAATGCGCTGTCAGGTTGGGGGAGAGGGATGTAAATAGCCTCTGTAAGATTTTGTAAGTATATTTGTATTTAAATTACAAAAAAAAAATCTCACTTTTTTTAATTATTTAGGACACTTTTAACCCGTTTGCAGATTTTGCTTTCTCGCCTCATCCCCCCCCTTTTTTTTTTTTTATTAAAAAAAAAAAAAGGCGTTGGATTTTTATTTTTTAGGGCAGGATGAGAAAAACTGCCGGTGAGAGAAACCAAAACAACCAACCCCCTTTCTTCTCCCCCACACTGGTTCTGTAATGGCTTTGCTGGGAGTTTTCTTGCAGCAGCGGCGGGGCCCGGGGCGCGGCTTCTAGGGCGGGCCGGGCCCCGCCGGAGGTGGCTGCCGGTGGGCTTGGGGAGAAGCGCCGGTTCCCGCCCTGGCCCCGTGTTTTGGGGGGGGGGCACAGCCCCTGGCCTGGCCCCGCACGGGGGAGGGCCGGCGGCCGCCCCTCGCCCCGGCCGGAGCGGAGCCGAGCCCCGCTGAGCCCGGCGGGCCCCGCCAGACCCTGGGCGGGGGCAGCACCAACGCCCGGCCCTGCCCGGGGCTGGCGGGGTTAACTGCCGGCTGCCCTCGTCCGATTTTATAAAATTTATTTAAACGCACCACGTAGTTGAAGAGGAGGAGTTGGCCTGTTTTGTTGTAGGAGTTGAGGTTTCACACCGTCTGCACCTGTAGCACGTCCGATGGCTTAGGAGGTGGATGGGGACAGATACACCAAATTTCCCTCGTGTTATGTTGTTTTGTTTTGTTTTGTTGTTTTGTTTTGTGGGTGATTTTTTATTTTTTTTTTTTTAATTCGCGCTTTTCCGTCGGAAGGTGTGTGTGGGGGGGACGGCGGAGGGGCCGGAGCTCTGCGGGGACCGTGCGGGCGCTCCCCCCCCGGCCCCGGCCCCGCTGCGGGCTGGGGCTGGCAGGATCAGGAAACGGGCTCAGTAAAAGAAGCGTCATCGGAATAAAACGCAGCATTCAGATTCCGCCGCCACCCCCTTCTCCCCACCCCCCCCCCACCACCCCCCCCCCGCTTAATTATATACATACGCTGGCTCTTCATTTGGGAAACATTGGAGCCATTGCCATGCCCTGAATTTTAATTCATTGCCATTTAATTCATTACACATTATGAGGGTGTGATGATTTTTGCCAGTAGTAAAAACAAAGGAAGGGAAAACAGAAAACCGGAATGTTTAAGCACTCTGGTGGGATGTGAGACCTTAAAGAGCCTCTGCTGTCTTTTTTACCTTTTTTTTTTTTTTTTTTTTTTTTTTTTTTTCGGTACAGTAATAACATCGCATACTGCAAAGATAAGATACTGTGTGTGCAGGATATCTACTACCTTGTGTGCTCCTGGGTCTGTGGGATTGTGCTTCTTAATCCAAAAAAATAAAATATTAAAAATGAAATTGTAACTTTGGACAGATGCATTTGAATATTTAGTCCTCTGTATGAAAAACAGCAGAATTCTTCTCTCCTGATTGTATTGTTTTAAACTTTTTTTATATTACAAATGCCTGTATTTAGGTTCATAAACATTATCTATGGCTACCATACCCTGAAATGCAAAATTATTTGAATTTGGTATGCATTTATTTCTGTTCATTATCCCAAGATCATCTATATTTATAGAGGAATAGAAATTTATATATATTAAATACCATATTTTTAATTTCACTGAAATAAATTGAGGTTTTGTACAAAACTATCTTGTCCCTTTATGTATTCCTCTGACTAACTTAAGTACTATGTGAAAGCAGGGTATATACTACAAGATGTGCGGGATTCCTTTTTTCTTTTCTTATGTTGAGTTCACAGTAACAAGCTGGAATTCAGTGTAGGAATTCATTGTGCATTTTGGTTTTTATCTCTGGGCCGGTCTAGATTAATCCTTCAAAAGAAGTAATGTAAACTGTTCAAGATCTCTGACAGGGTATGGTCGGTGGTGTGAAATCCAAGAAGAGATCTGCTATATGGCAGGAGAAGAAAGAAGCTCACCAGTTCTTTTTCTTCTTTTTTTTTTTTTTTTTCTTTCTTGTTTTTTGTTAAAGGGTTCTCTCAACTTAGCCTTTCTTCTCCCATTCCTATTAAGAAAAAATTTTCTCACTGCTCAAAATGACACTCAGACTATGTTGTCAGAATAATATTGTCAGAATATTTTAATGAGTAAAATAGTTTTGCTGAATTTGGGATGTTTGGTTAATCCAGAGTTAAACAGTATGTTCATGGAAGCATTTCAGCTTTATGGAAAGTACACACATTCTTAAACCTTTCAACACAACACTTTTTTTTTTTTTTTTTTTCCTAATTCATTGTTTGAAGTGGTGTTCTGTAAGCATGGGTTTGTTAGGAAAGACTGGCTAATTATGAGACTTAAGCTAGTACAACATTTCATTCTGTAGATCTGGAAGAAGATGGAAGTGATCATTTACTTTTTTTCAAACTATGATGCGTAAACAGCCATAGAGAAGCAAGGGAAGGTTTTTTTCATTATTTTAAAATTTGTTTTACCATAGTTCCTGCTTTCTCAGATATTTTGCACAATTTTCTCAAGTCTGTCTGTCCCCCCACTTCTTCTCTTTAAGAAATATTTTGGCATTTAAATTGTACTGGTCAACACACAGCTAATAACCTGAAGTACAAGCCATTCACTTTCAGTTGCAGTGGAATTCTTTTTGGTAAGTGTATAATTACTTTTCAAAGATGAATAATGGAATTGTCATTTCTACATAAAGTAAAATTTCATTAATATTTGCAGTTCATGATTTGCAGCAGACAGAGATCCCCTTCAGTTCTTTGGGATTTTTTACATAGATTGCAGAGCTGAGGCTCCATGTTCAGTCTTTGTTATTTTAATAAATATACTAGAGAACACAATATGGTGATTTTTAAATAATTTAAAAGAGCAGCCCCCTGCTTTTTTGTTTGCTAATTTTTGTGAACTTTCACAGAGCAGCAATTTGCTAAGGTCACAGTTAATGCTGTGGTGCTATCTCTGTGACTCACCTACCTTTTTATACTTTTATTTCTCAACATATAATGGTATTTGAAACTCTATTAATATGATACAAAGGTGTCTTTTGCGTGGGTATATTGCAGTCATCACTAATGTTTTACCTCACTGTTAAATCCATCCATTGCTGCAGGGAATTTAGATAGGATTTTTTGCAACACAGTCTGTATGATTGATGTACCATGTTTGACAGAGAAAGTATCACCGTATACAAAGAAACCGCGTTGCCCAGTTCTCTTGTCCGTGAAAAGAAGGATTATACAGGAACAAAACTGTGGTATAACAAAGTTTATTGGGCTAGAAGTAAGGCATTTCTTAGTCAACAGCTTTGCTTTCTCTCATGGGGTATATTTATAGCCTGAAATGAAGGGGAACTCAGAATCACCATTCCCCTGAAGAGGGCTGTAGCCTGGAGAGCTGAGGATGCTGATTTACCGTTCATCCTTCAGTTACAGTAATGCTCTTTAATGTAGTGGCAAATTTGTGGTATTGGAATGAAATTATATGCTGTTTCCATAACAAATCCTGTTGGGAAGGAGAAGGATTTCTGGTTTGTTCATACAGTAATGCCCCAAATTTCTGGAATATGCATATACTTTTAGGAGCGTCAGATTTTTTTAATTGTGTGGCAAGGCTGCAATCTAGTGGGCCTGAATTCTGCCCTCTGGGTAATGCCCACCCTTCTGCTGCCATCCCAGTGCTTGTTGGGCAATTATTGTTGTGGAGTACAATTACAGGCAGCGCTGAGGATCCCTTTAATTTAAACGGATAATATTTGCATTTTTTGTATTATTCAAAGGAATAGTAATTAGGCGTGAGAAGAGGCTGCTGTGTAAGTACAGGATGAGTATTTTTCAAAATGGGCTATGGGCTAGTACCTATTCAGTCTTTTCCCACTGCCAGTCACAAGAGACAACTTCTCAGATCCTTTTGAAAAGATGTGCACCCTACAGCTGACCAGAGAAAGCAGTCATGGGTTTGGTGTGGCATGTGTAGTCTAAAGCTATTGAGGGTACTCTTGCAAAAAGTTTGTGATTGTGTGACATAACTTCTCCACCCCAGTGCTGCATGGCCTCTGAAAGCTTCATCTAGCAAAACTCATGACAGCTGAAGGGATGGTAAGAGGTTAAATGCTTACCTATAAAAATAAGGAAACTGAGGTAAAGCTGTTTTCATCACAAATTGACCCTCTAGTGCTCAAACACTGGAATTGCGTTATAGTTGATGGTTCCAACGGCAGCACTATAGGACTGTGGCAATACTGTGCAAAATCAGTTCTGAATATCAGCCCGCCCCTTTCTAATTCTAGATTTCTATTAGTTGTTGTTTGCACTTGTTGAACCCAAAGCATCTTTGCTCTGTATGTTATGCAAACGTAGAGTGAATGGATCATATGGATTCTGAATTCAAATGTTGATTTAAAAATGCAAGTCCTTTAGATGCTTGGTCCCATTAGAAGTGAGGGTTGCTCTTGGGTCCATAGCTGTGGGAGTTTCTCATATTTGTAAATCTCTTGCCTCTGCTGTTCATCAGTTGAGCTGGAAGGCTTAGGCAATGATTCACGCTCATATGGAGAAAGGGAACTTTGTTTTTCTTGCTTGGGACTGAACCCCTTGATGCCTGTGTGTTTACAACACAGAAGTGTCACCAGAGAAATGCTTTGTTCTGAAGTTCCTGATCTGTTTTGAAATAGCAGTGCTGTAATTTTAAAAGTGGGATAGCGGGTTTAGGAAGCAAGGCTTGGTGACAATGCTGAGGCTTTGCTTTTAACAGTTCAGTTTTTAGAAGTCTCCCAAGCATTTTAGGATGTGAAATAGCTACTTAAGGACAAACTAAGCACGCCAGGATTAGGTCCTGGATACATTGCAAGCATTGTGAGCCCCATATTCATTTGAGAGTTCGTCCAGTGACAGTATTAAAGCAGACTAGATAATACTATGACCTGTAAAAAAAAAAAAAAAAAAAAAAAAAAGAATGGCATAATTGCAATTACTTGCCAACTGAAATTCACTCCACCTCTTCTTAGTCATTTGAGGTCACTAGATGGAGAAGCAAATATTGTTTCTGTCATATGGGAGAGATTTCAGTGAATTATCCAAATAGACCTTAATAAGTAATATATAATTGCAAGTGCAGCATTTTCCAGATAAAAGCAATACCACTTTGATAGTTTAGTTGTAGACAGTGCTTTAAAAATTTGAAATGCTTTAAGAAAACATGCTGATTTTGTAGGCTGTGACAACTGTGTTACAGATCTCAACTTGTGTTTAGTCTAAACTTCCAGTGTAACCACATCAGAGAGTCTTCCAGGCATGAGGTCTTGCCCTTGTTTGCATTCAAATCAGCAGCATTAAGTTGCTTATCTTGAGGTTGAATAAATAAACTCTAGTCTTCTACTCAGACAGCACTTAATGAAGACCCACATTCAGCCACCAACCTCGCATGAAATGCTGCTGGGTTGAGACCCCGCAAGCCTTGTCCAAGTATCCCAAGGCTTTGTTGCAGTGCGTGAAAATATTGGACACGATTGAACTGCACTAAGGTGGAAACTTGGCAATAACCATCAAACTCTAGTGTAAACGTGCTGCATTGTAGGCTTGTGTCAGCCACCATGAAAAGTATTTTTGATGGACTATCTTAGACATAACTTTTGCAAAAATATTGAAGTGATGGACTTTTATTTGCAATTACCTGTCTTTTGTATAGCTGAATTGTTATCAGTCTGTAATGTTTAATAAGGTGTTATACTAGGCTAACGTATAAGGCTGTTTGTCAGTAGTGCAGCACCGTAGGTGGAACTTGTCCACATTATAATATCACCAGGATCCCTTTGGGTGTGGGAGAACAGTATTTTTGTCTAGTTCTGTTATAACTTGGATAATATTGCTTGCTACAGCACAAATTTAAAAGTCACTTATCATGGGATAGTTTGATGACAAAGATCACAAGAAAAATTAAAGTGGCCTTCATCCCTCAGGTGAGATGTCTTGATGCTATTTTCTTGCATGCTCATTTGTGTAATTCAGATGTAACTGCTTTACATTCTGTGACTCAGTGCTAGTCTTATTGCTGTGTTTAAGTGAGACTAACAGTATGACTCACTGATGCTGTCCTGTTCTCTTGTTCATGTTAATTACTATTGCTTTGTTACTGGTAACTCATTTGACCTCCACTACCATGCTCAGAGTACTACAGAACTTAAGGACAGGACTGATAGCCACAGGAGTGTTCAGTCTGTTTGAGCAAGACAAGAACTTGTTGGCCCCCCCGGCAGCTTGTCTGCCACTGGTTTGGCATTTGCTGCTGCATCTTGGGTGCTGGACTATCACCCTCCCTCAGAGGTAATGTTCTCAATCTTCTGCAAACTCCACGAATGTCCTACTGGCAGCAGCACCA